CCTGCTCCGATCACAGATACTTCCTCTGGAACAAAAAGAAAATCCCTTCCCTAAACCCAAAGACTGTGCTGCTCTGTTTGTGGAAGGGGCGGAGGGGGGGGGGGGCACGCCTTCAGGTGTAGGGGCCCTCGAGGGCTCTAGCGCCATCTTCCCAGAGTCAAAGAATGGTAAGGGCTCTGTAGATGCTTCTGTTAGCCAGCCCCTTAAGCCAGTGGGAAAATCAAAGGCCAGAAATGGGAAGTAGCTCTGGCAAGATCACGCATGCAGCTAGTTCTGTCCGCTCATGAGGAAGACAGGTTGAGTGTTCTCCTGGGACCCTTGGGGTAGGATAGCGCTTTTCTCCTCTAGGCAGACTTCTGACCTTCTGGAGAATGGGAAGGGGTGGTGTTGATCTTCCACCCACTTCGGCCTGCCTGGAAGAAGAGAGGACCATACGACAGCCTCTCCAGGCAACGAGTGCTCTTCTCTCCCTCTCTTCCCAAGGCTTAGAGTCCCGCCCGGTGCTCAAGTGTCCCTCACCATGCTGACAGGGCTCTGGGAGATGTCAGCCCCTCCAGCTGGGAGAGAATTCGAAATGAGAATGGAGAAGGAGGCCAGGGAAGGACCCAACCCACCCTCCCATCTCCAAATCCCAATTATGGAATCCATTCTGACCCAGTTTGGGGTTCTTCTCACACACCCACACCTATTCACAAACATCTGTGCAGCTCATTCCCACACTTGCATTGGTTTAGGTGTGTGGAGTGGGGAGAGGGGAGGGGTGGTGATAAGGGAGCCCCTTTGTGGCTAAAACTTGTTACTGGCTTACTCGGTGATCAGAAAACTGTGAGAATCATGAGTCGCCAGCAGGCATGACTCCCCTGGGCCAGCTCCTGGGATCAGGTGAGGCCCCTGGCACCGGGGAGGTGCTCAAATCAGCAGTGACTGAGTGAGTTAGTGAACGTACATCAACGTCTCTCTCATGGAGACGGAGGCACGGTGGGGCCAGCCCCAGAAATGATGACCCATCTGACAGTTTTCTGCGGGGCTGGGGAGTGCCTAAAATGGGTGCCCTGCAGCCCTCTGACAAGATGCCTCTGTGCTTACACCTTTGTATTAGCCTCCCAGCCTGAGCCGAAGCTCAGAGAGGGGATGTGACTGCCCTGGCATCGTGTGGCCAGACAGTGGCAGCGTCAGAACCTGAACCAGGGCCTTCCGACCCCCAGGACGGAGCTGTCCCAGCATCCGGCACTCCTGCCTCTGCTGGGTAGAGAGCTGCCTTGCAGGTGTCACTGTGCCACTAGCGGGGAGCAGGCTGGTGGCAGGCTGCTGAAGACACTGAGGGCTTTGGCACCCCCTTCCTAGGAGAAGCTGCTCCAGCCCAGACAACCTGGAAAGCTCAGAGGGCACACACTAGGGTGGACTCTTCCTTCCCACTTTTCACTAAGGGGTAGACCTAGAGTTCCCTGAGAGGCAGATTTGAATCCGATGACCTGGATTCAAGTCCCGGCTCTACCACTTACTAGCTCTTTGACCCTTGGGTACGTTATGTTACTTAACTTCTCTGTGCCTGCGTTTCTTCAGCCATAGAATGGGTGGATCATGAAGGAATGATTACTAGCTCGTGGGGTGTTGAGGGGCACAAGAGGCAATGCCTAGCAAGTGTTTCCTGCAGGGACTGGCAGATGTAAGCACTCACCGTAATCGGTGATTCAACGTACGTGAACTGCAGGCCTCCTGGGGGCCAAGCACTGTGCTAGACGCCCATAAATATCATTAAAGTTTAATGGAAGTGGAGTAAAAGTAGGGAAGAGCCAAGAAGAAAAAGAACACTCAGTGCTGCCCAGCCAGGCTCTTGGAGGCCGCCGGGAAGAATGCTGTGTAATGGGCCTGCCTCCTCTCACGTGTCCGTCTCTATCTACGAGGCCTTGGATGCTCTATTCCGAAGTCTTGCAGGCAAATCCCACCCAGTTCTGCAGGGAGGGAATCTGGAGATAATAGCACTGGGGAGCAAGCCTCCGAAAAGCCCAGGCCTGCCTAGGGTAGGGCACAGCTAGATCCCAACCTCCCCCTCTCCTCTGGCACGAAGTTCTCTCCTCCCTGGCAGCACGGCTCCGGGCATTAGAGGAAATCTACCCAAGCACAGGATGCGAGAGCCCTGCACCCACTGGAGGCCAGGATTACTCTGCTGGTAAATCCTGCCTCCCTATAATCCTAGCGCTCAGAGAAAGAATGCAAAACCGAACTCCCCTCCAACCAGCTCAGACCAATTCTATGTTGCAGCAACTGCCCACGCTCTCTTCCTCTTCGTCGTCCTCCTGACCTCTTCCACATGGTTCCCTCAGTCTTCTCCCCTCAATTCAGTCAACAGCATTTAATGAGACATGTCCCTCACCCACCGTACTGAGTCCTCCATCCTATTCCCCAAAACGTTCCATTCCTCTCGCTTGCTTCCCTTCTCCTGAGGCAAACTGGGGGCCCTGCGCCATTGTGTGGTTCTGAACTAGGTTCTGGTTCAACCTGGCAATGCCTGGACCCTTGGAGGATCCAAGGGGGCATATTTTCAAGCCAGCGAGCCTGATGCAAGGTAGATAAGGCCCTATGCTACTCTGCCCAACTAGGGGGCCTTCGGGCTTTAGTGCATGAAGTGGGGCCTCTACTAAGAGAGGAGGCATGAGATGGGTCTACAGTGGTGGCACAGTCCCTGTGGAAGGTCTGAGCACTGCACAACTCTGAGGGGCGCCATTCATACTGTGGCACGTCTAGAGTTGTGCAGTGCAGTGGCTCTGAGCTAGCGGCTTCCTGGCCCTCTGCAGAAGCTGCTGGTGGATATCCGGAGCCAGACCCTCCTGCCCAGCTTTCCTTATCTTCCGCCTCCTCTCCCTGCTCCTGTCTTCCCAAAGCCAAGACTACCTTAAAAGGTGTTTTAGAGGACACTATAAAAGCCTGAGGCTACCCAATTTAATACTTGCCCTAAAGCTTTCCACGAATCCAATGGGGTCAGATCCTGCAGAATTTCAAGTCTGATGCCTTTCGTCTGATAAGCATTGGAGGAAGGAGGAAGTGATTGGCACCAATACAGGGAGACAGGTGGGCATCCTTGTGTCAAGGGGCCAAGCAGTCAGTCATTTATCCTCACCTACAGAGCTGGCTGTTGGAAGCAGGTGGAGGAAGAGAGATGGGGAAGCATCTTTATTTTTAAACCTTTACTGTTCTGATTAAGCATATCTTTTCCCTCTGACCTTCACCAGTCTCACTTTGGAAGATCAAACAGCCAGCGAGTCAGAGGGAGGCCTGGACCGGTGACACATGGATTTGGGATGGACCAGCCTGCTGCCGCCCCCTCGCTGCTTCCCAGGCAGCGGCAGGAGATGGCAGCTAATCTGTGCTGGGCCTGCAGGGGCCTCAGAAAAGGCCTTGCTGAGGGTCCTGCCTCCCTTGGCTGGATTGCCAGTGGGAGGGGCAAACTGCCTACTCTGGCCCCAGGCCACTCTGTCCCAGCACCTGGCTGCAGGCGATTCTTTTTGATGCATTACAACCTACCCTAGACTTTGAAGAGAAACTGGCACTTCTCTCACCATTACAAAAAAAGATTCCTATCTCTGCGTCTTCCCATCATTTGGCTGGAGATCATATGAAGCGCGTGTGTTTTAAACACATTTCTAAGGAACTTCTGGACATGCACAATTTAAGAGAAGATGGGAAAGGTCGCCGGTGCGGCCAGCGTGGTACCAGATCTGATGAGGGAATGTGGCAAATGAAAAGCAAGAAGTGGGGATCATATTAGAGGCTTTCTGGGAACTGGCATCTGAGAGCACTAGCTGGCCAGGACCAGCGTTCTCCTCTGCTGTATCTGCATCCGGGCCCAACCTCCACCTCACACCCCAGCCCCCCTTCTCTGGGTCCCGGCCACGCCCTCTATCCCTCCCCCCCCCAACTTCCCCCTTCTGGGAACGCAGTCTCTGGTTTCCCCTCCGATCTACAGGTGCCCGTAAACAAAGTGCTGCAGCAACGCCAGCGAGTCCGCAGCCGCCTCCCCAACCCCCACCAGGCTAAGTGCGGCCCAAGGTTAAGCCAGGGTTCGGGGAGGCGTCCACGAAGGGACCCCAGACCCAGCTCTTGGACTCTCCCCTCTGCTTCTTCAAGCCCACCGGGCTCCAGAGTCTTCCCCCTGGATGGGAGCCGCCACACACTCTGGGCCCGGCTCCCCCACGAAAGGTTGGTCCTAGAAAACCAGCCTCCGTGAGCTCCCCTACATGGGGACCCCAGACCTGGCCACCCGAAGGTGGCCTCGGCTATTTGCACTGCCGTCGCCCGCCCCCAGTCACGGACACGCCTTTCACCATGTCGCCTAATGAGGATTGCTAGGACCACCCCCTCCCCCCTCACACACACACACACACACACCCCAACTCAAAGCTTCAACCAAGGGCTCTCTCCCCTTCTGTCCTCCCTCCCCCAAAGCCCAAGGTGGGAACAGAGGGCACTGGCGCCACACGATGCTACCTTCCCCGCCGGCCGCACCCAGACCTTCTGCAGTGCCCCGTATGTGCAGTCTGCAGCATCCACCCGGCTGGGGGCAGGCCTGGGGGCCTCCTTTTTTTTCCACCGGAAAAAAAGAGAGGATCCATCCGGTCGGGGGTTCGGCCGCAGCCGGGGCTCCCACCCCTCCAGTCCTGCACCCCCTTGCATCCCGCGCCCCTCTCTGCGCCCGGCCTGCGGTGGAGACCGTATGTGGAGCGAGCGACCCCGGAGCAACTCCTTGCCCGGGACTCGCCCTGGGTGGTGGTGGGGCTCGGGGTCCCGGGCCCGGGGGCCTTGGGGAGGGGGCGCCGAGCTGTCCCGGGGACGGCCGGCGGGAGCCGAGCGGGTGCGCGCTGTTTACTCTCAGTGCAGTCAGCCGGCTGGGCTGCGGAGCGGGTCGCTGCGACGTGCAGCCGCCGCTCCCGGTGGCCGGGGCTCCGCTCCGAGCCTTGCTTCCCAGACCCGCGCCCCCGGCCCTCGCGGCCCTGTAGACTCACGTCTCGGAAGCGGTTCCAGTGCTTGATCTTGCCGCTGTACTGCGAGATGGACGACAGCCATTGCTCGTCCTCCATGAAATTGCCGGGGGTCTCGCCCTCCTTGAGCCCTTTGGCGTCGCCTTCCGCCAGGGCGGCCGCGGCGAGGAGCAGCAGCGGCAGCACGAGCCGCCCGCAGCCAGGGGCGCGCATCGCGGTCAGGGTCCGACCTCGGAGGGTCTTGACTTCTGCAGTATTTTAGTGTCCTTCCTCCCACCCCGCGGTCGGAGAAGCAAACGCCGTCGTCTTCCTCCGCCCTCCTCCTGCGGTCTGACTCCGGTGACAGACGGATAGTGGGTCGCGGCTGAAATGTGACCTGGTTAGGAGATGCACTTGTCTGAAAAAGCCCAGAGCTGGACGCGGAGAGAGAGAGAGAAAAATCAGAGAGGCTGCGCCAGCAGGGGCTGTGTCTGTAACTGTAGCATCAGCATCACGTTTGACATCATCATACCTGGTTTAAAAAAAAAAAAAAAAAAAAGGAGGGGGAAGATTTCAAAGGGAAGCGCTAGATGAGAGCACCAAATGCGGGCCAGCCAGCCGAAGCAGAACCCTGCCCAGCCTAGCACTTAGGGAGTTGCAATCCACGGAATCCAAATCCTGAGATGTCCCCGCCGCCTCTTCAAGGGTGGAGAGCAAGGAAAAGGGCCCCGGGGACTCCCCAGGGAATATGGGACTGGGGAGGACACAAATCTCTCCAGTTACAAAGCCCGCCAGGCTCAGGTGTCTAAAAGGGAATTTGGCCACAGACATTCTGTCTCCCCTTGCCTGCAGCCCAGAGGGGCCTGTGCCACAGCCCTGACAGCTGGCTTCCTGCGAGTTATGGCTCTAACAGTAATGGGTGACTTCGTTAAGACAAAAGCCATATAACAACTGGCTGCCTCAGAACTATTGCTCCCCAGCCCCACATGGTCTTTTCAAGGCAAGGCCTGAGCACTGAATGGCTGGTAAAAAGAGGCAGATGTCCTCCTCCCCAAGCAGCTGTTTAAGGGCCGTCACCCCTTTTGTTAGCTCTTCCTACGGCAACCCTAAAAGGCAAACGTCTGACCATTTCATCTGCCTTGAGGCTGCAAATCTGGAAAAGGCACATTTGTTCATGGTTTTGACTTCAAGTTGATTTTAATAAGACGCTGGGGAAGGGGGTTGGTGGGGGGAGAAGCTGGTTTTGTTTGAGGCGTTCAGGTTTTTGTTAATATCGTGACCCTTATCATTGCCTGTGGAAATGTGTTGACATACCAGTTGGGAAGGCTGGAGGCTGGGCAGTCCCAGGATTGGAGCAGAAATGGGGTGAGGTTTACATTACAAATAAATTGAAGAGGGAACAGAGAATCTGACAGGAAAAAACATAAGGAACTTTTCAGACCCAAGCCCTAGATTGTGTTTTTATAAAAAGACTTGGCCGCTGTGGTCTTAAAAAAAAATAAGAAAGAAAGAAAGAAAGGAAAAGAAAAACCAAAGGGCAATGAAAAACATGATCTTAAACGGTAGGAAAAACCCCAGGTTATAAGGTAGGTAGTCACCCTGAATCTGGTCTGCCTGGGAATTGTGACCGCATCAATGGCTTGGGTTGGGGTCCCTTTGGGAAAACAGAAAACAATAGCTCCTTTTCCATGTTTTCTTTTTGCTTTGTGATTGGATTTAGAGGTGGTGCTGCAGTGAGGCCCTGGCCATTGATGTCTTCATCTCCCAGTAAATGAGCTGGGTTGTATAGCAGCAGAACGGTACAGTGGAAGAGCACAGCCTGTTGTCAGATAAGACTGGGGGTGAGAGCCCGCTTATTAGCTGTGTTATTGGGCAAGTTCCCGAATCTAGTTTCTATTAGGCATCACAGAAGATTTCAGATCTCAGAAGATGGCCGTGAAACTCATGCAAAATCACATACTAAGTGCTTGAGCACAGTGGGCATTTACAAAATGTTAGTTCTTCTCTCAGGTTGGGAAGAGAAGGCTTGGTCCCATGGTTCTGAAGATGTACTAAAAGTTGCCATTTCCCCCCATTATCTCAATCCTAGTCTTCTAGCAAAGCTAAGTGCGTATCACCAAGGCTCTGAGGCAGTAGATTCTAGATATAGCCCTCCCTTTCCAGTACTATCTTCTGAATTCCCTGATCTTCTAGAATTACCAAAGTTGCCTGAAAAAGAGTTTGGAAAGGCACTGACAAGATGTCTGCCAAAAAGACAATAGATGTTTCCAGACCTTTGAAGGTCAAAATGTTTCCCACACTCCTGGGCAGCTCCTCCAGGGAAACTGACTTCTGCTCCACCTTCAGGCTGGGTCAGTTGATTTGCCCTCGAAGCACACCCACAAAAGTCTAGAACTGTTAGGTAAGCCAATAGGAAAGCTAATTTAGGAGAGAGAGTCCAGTTTTCCAGATGACAGGTAAAAGAGCTGTAGAAAAAGGACAGTTATAATTTATAAAGAAGAAAAGTTTTCCTAAACTATGAGAGAATTACTAGCAAGCAGGTCAGCCTTTTCAAACCAATGGGCCCAAAAGCTGCTGGGTGTATGTTAAATGGTATGTGTTTTCTGCATTTTTGTTTTTATTTAATATTTAGCAATACAAAATGGAAGAACCCTCATTTCCAAATAAGAAATTTAAATTTAACCACATCTTTAAAAGCATTTAATCTCATCTCTGGATGACTTCACAAGCATTAAAAAAAAATGCACTAAGATATTAAATCCAGAATTGTTTATAATAGCCAAACCTGGAAACCAACTCATTGTCCATTAGTCAGAGACCAACTAACCAACAAAATGAACTAGTGCACAGACATTATAAATGATGTAGGGGGCGCCTGGGTGGCTCAGTCGGTTGAGTACCCCACTCTTGATTTCAGCTGGGGTCATGATCCCAGGGTCATGGGATCACGTCCCATGTTGGGCTCCATGATGAGCATGGAGTCATCTTGGGATTCCCTCTCTCTCCCTCTGCCCCCCCTCCCCTGTGCACATGTGCTTGCTCTAAAATAACAAAATAATAATAATAATAATAATGTAGATCTGTATCTATTGACAACTAATGTGACTCACTATATATTGCTGGATGAGAAAAGCTTGTTAGAGAAACTCATGTGTAATATGACCCCACTGGGAAGAAGTATAGTATGGTACAGCAGTTCTCAAACTGTTTGGTCTCAGGAGTCCTTTAGACTAAAAACGTCTTGAGGAATCCTAAGAACTTTTGTTTATGTAAGATATATATAGATCTCATCTATTGTACTTGAAAATGAAACTAAGCCTGCCTCTAAATTCTTCTGTGAACCTAAAACTGCTCTTAAAATAAAATCAAATCTTTAAAGAAACCCCTAAGAATTGAAAAAAAATGCTTACTTAATAAGAACAATAATGAACCCATTACATATTAACATAATAATGTATTTTATGAAGCACAATTATACTCCCCCTGCCAAAAAAAATCTAGAAGAGAGGCATTTACATTTTTGCAAATCTCTTTATTTAATGTCTGGCTCAAGAGAAGACATGTAGATTAGCTGCCTGTGTTATAACAAGCATTAAGAGTAGGGCGCTTGGGATGCTCAGTTGGTAGTGTCTGACTCTTTTGATTTCAGCTCAGGTCATGATCTCATGGTTTGTGAGTTCAAGTCCAGCATCAGACTCCATGCTGAGAGTGTGGAGCCTGCTTGGGATTCTCTCTCACCCTTTCTTTCTGCCCCTCCTCTGCTCATGCTCTCTCTCAAAATAAATCAATAAACTTAAAAAACCAAACAAACAAGCATATTATTTTGCCAGGACTGCCATAACAAAATACCACAAACTTGTGGCTTAAACTATAGAAATGTATTTTCTCAAAGTTCTGGAGAGTACAGGTCCAACATGAAGGTGTTGGTAGGTTTGGTTTGTCCTGAGGTCTTTCTTTCTGGCTTGCAGATGGCTAGCTGCCTTCTTGCTATGTCACACATGGTCTTTCCTCTGTGCATGCACATGTCTGATGTTTTGTTTTCCTCTGGTTGTCAAACAGTCCTTTATTAAAATATTTTCCTTTCTAGTTCTTAACTGGACATTTCTCCACACCACTCTTCATGTCAGGAAGGTAGCAGCCGCCATCAGCGTTGCAGCCCTGGATCAGGGCAAGGCAGAAGAAACCGCCTCAGTCGGCGCATGTGTCCTGGATGGTCAGTTTCACTGTAATCCTCAGACCCTTGCCATCACCAGGTGCCTTGGTGATATCATCGCCAACCTTTTTTGAAGACAGACCCAGGGGGTCGAACTTGGAAGGCCAGGGGTCTGATGTTTCTTTGTGTGTCCAAAGTTCCTCTTCTTAGAAGGACATCAGTCAGACTGGATTAGGGCTCACCCTAAAAGCCTCAGCCTCATTTTTACTTAATCACCTCTTTAAAGGCCCTGTCTCCAAACACAGCTACAATTCTGAGCTACTGAGGGGTTAGGGCCTCAACATATGAGTTCTTGGGCAAATAACTCAGCCTGTAACACAGATAAAAGTGAAAAAAGGTATCTGGAGTACAGCAGAAGTACTGAGAGCAAAATGAGTTAAAGTCTAAAAACATAATGTAAACCTGTCAACTTTACAAAATTCTAGAAAACACAAAATATATAAGCACATATTCCATTAACCATCAGAGTGATGATGTCACCATGTCCCATAGCCTCTGGAAAACTCCACTGTACACTCAGGAAAGAACAAATGAAAAAGGCAAATAACACCTTACTATTTTTAAGAAGATAGTGTGGACCACATACAGCCCTAAAAGGTTCTCAGGGACTCACAGGGGGTGCAGGGTCACATTTTAAGAACAGGTGGTACAAGCTGTTATGATCTCAGGCAAATTTCCTTTTTATTTTCTTTAGTTTTATTTTTTTAAATCTATACATGTTTAAATTTTTTTTCCTTTTATAGTTTATTCTCAAGTTGGTTTCCATATAACACCCAGGGCTCATCCCAAGTGCCCCCCTCCATGCCCCTTACCCTCTTCCCCTCCCCCATCAGCCATCAGTTTGTTCTCAGTATTCAAGAGTCTCTCATGGTTTGTCAGGCAAATTTCTTAACCCTGTTATGCCTCAGTTTGTAAAATGAGGGTAGTGATAATACCAACTTAAGTGGGCTGTTGTAAAGATTAAATGAATTAATACACAAGTGACTAAAGTGAGCATTCCACAAATGTTATTCATTTGTAAAAAATTATTCAACAGTATGATATGATATGTGCTTAAATGCATACAGAGGAGTAACCTCTAGAGGATGAAATTTGCTTTTCAACCAACATTTAAACTGAAGTATAAAATGCGCACTGAAAAGAACAGAAAGCATGAATACACAACTGGATGATTTTTCACAAAGTGAATTTATTTTATCTTTTGTTTAAAAAACCATTTTATTAGGGGCGCCTGGGTGGCTCAGTCCATTAAGCGTCTGAGTTCAGCTCAGATCATCTCATGATCTCTCAGTTTGTGGGTTCTGGCCCCGCATCAGGCTCTGTGCTGACAGCTCAGAGCCTGGAGCCTGCTTTGGATTCTGTGTCTCCTTCCCTCTCTCTCTGCCCTTTCCCTGCTCATGCTGTCTCTGTCTCTCACAAATAAATAAACATGGAAAAAAATTAAAACAAAAAATGTTTTATTAACAACAAAAAAGGTATAACAACAGCCGCAACAGCAGCCCTTTTTCTTACCTATAGCATCCTGGGGGGTTGACATCCATGTTCCCTGTAGGCATCAAGATAGAATTTGAGAGGCATTTCTCAACTCAATATACCTCTGGTGCCATCGGCTTCCTTTCAGCTCCAGGAGAAGAGCACAGCACAAAAGCGAACTTGAACCAACCTCTGTGTCTTTCGAAGCTGGATTCGTAAGTGAAGCTCACTTAAAAAATAACCACTATAAGTAACATCATTGTTTCTACCACGGGTTAGGAGTTCACCTCTGGGGCTAACTCACTGTGTACTCCCCCCCCCCCCAAAATCAAAATAATTCTCCATGACAAAGTTCCTTACATAATAATACAGATCTTGTTTAATCATTGCAGTGAGATTGTTTTCCCTCCTCTTTGAGGAACTGGGTGAAGTCAGTGCCTCAAAAACTGGCTGGAGTGATGTTAGCTGCAATTTAACTCTATTTCAATACAGGATGAACTACTAACTGATAATATTAAAGGAGATTTGATTAGCAAATCTTCCAATATGAACCCCATTACAATTTAGTGAGAGGGGACCCTGAATCTTGGGAATGAATTTCTACAATTTACAAGAGTCTAGGAAATACAAAAATACACAAGCACATGCTCCATTAACCATCAGAATGATGATATCACTGTGTCATGTAGCCTCTGGAAAAATCCACTGTAGCGTCATGAGAGGAGACTGAAAGAGGTAAATTACTTGTGAAAAATTACTTAATAATATAATATGTCCTTGAATGTACAGTTACCTCTAAATTTTAAATAACAGAATTTCCAGTTCTAGTAAGAATTTACGATTTGGGGGCTCCTGGCTGGCTCAGTTGGTAGAGCATGTGGCTCTTGATCTCAGGGTTGTGAGTTTGTGCCCCACACTGGGTGTAGGGATTACTTAAAAAATAAAATCTTTATTAAAAAAAAAGAATTGAGGGTTTGATATATAAAGTTACATTTTCCAAAGATAAAAAAAAAATTTACTAGAAACACAAGTCATAAATCTCTAACATCCAAAATAAGACCTCTTTAGGGGCACCTGGGTGGCTGAGTCAGTTAAGCGTCCGACTTCAGCTCAGGTCATGATCTCATGGCTCCTGAATTTGAACCTGGCATCTGGCTCTCTGCTGTCAGCATGGAGCCTGCTTCAGGCTCACTCGCGCGCTCTCTCTCTCTCTCTCTCTCTCTGCTCCTCCCCTGCTTGTACTCACTTGTCTGTCTCTGTCTTTGTCACGCTCTCTCAAAAATAAATAAACATTAAAAACAAAATAAGACGTCTGTACTTCCTGGGCAAGGCTGCCCAGAGGCGGGTGTCAGAAAGGAGGCAGTAAGAGAGAAGCACGGAGATGAGATGGGGCCCTGACCTCTACGATCTCTGGGAGAACTCGCTGCACCGTGCCATCTAACCATTGAAGGCAAACGAGATAAAATCTCACGTTACTAAGCGTTTGGGGAAAAACCAACCCTGCAGGCATGAACATGTAAGTTCTGGAGGAACAGCTATGCCAGCAACTAAGTGATGGCAACACTGTCCCGACACATGTTGACTAAGGGAGTCAAACTAAAAAACTGCGTATGATTGAAAGATAGAAAAAAAAAAAAAAAGAAAAATTTCCAGTTACTCTGGAAATTCATTTATTCACAAGTGATCTGGGCAGTGAGACTGATGAACAAATCTGAGTGTTCTGCACAGCCTTTTCTATGTTGTGACCTTAGTGCACAGGGTTCAGAATCACACTTTTCAAACAGAAAGAATCAAAGTAAGAGTACGGAATAAAGGAAAGAGACAGAGGGAGCCTGGAGGGAGGAGAGATGTGAAGAGGAGAGGAAGGTGAGAGCGAGCCTGGAGCAAGGAAGGGAGCCGGTCCTGCCGCAGCCGGCTCTGCCTGGTGGGACTCTGCACGGCCCTGCTGATGTCACCGCCGCTGCCCTGTGGACTCAACACAAAGGAGCTACGATACTGCAACTCCATCACTGGCCTGGGAAGGCCGGGGGGGGGTGGGGGGGGATAGAGTAGGATAAGGAACAGGAATCCAACAAACATAAAAGGGTACTAACTTCAGAAGAAAAAGGACAGACCAAAGTAAAAGATAAACATGGAAGTTATTTCGCCAAAGATAAAACTGAGTAGTAAAGGAACGGAAAGCAGGATCAGGAAGAGGCATCTGTACACCTGTGTTCACAAAGGTCAAGGAACCCAGGTGTCCACTGGTGGCCGAATGGATAAGCAAAACGTAGGGTACACGTAAAATAGAATATTATTCAGTCTTTCTTAAAGGAAGGAAATTCTGACACTTACTACAACATGGATGAACCTTGAGGACGTCCTGCTAAGTGAGGTAAGTCAGGCCCATAAAGACAAATACTATAGGACTCCGCCCACATGAGTTGTCTAAAGCAGTCAAGCTCCTAGAAGGGGAAAGTAGAAGGATGGCTGCCAGAGACTTGGGGGATGGGGACACGGAGAGTTGTTTAATTGGGTATAGTTTCAGATCTTCAAGGTGAGAAAGTTCTGGAAACATTTCACAACAATGTGAATATACTTAACACTACCAAACTATACACTTACAACGAAGCAGGTAAGATGGTAAACCTTCTATGTATTTTACCACAAAGAAATTCTGGGGAGTGATTAAAAGTTATGGTACAAAGGGAAGTAAAAATCAACCTTCTTAAAAACTGGAGACATTCAATTTAGGTGGAGACAGTAATAAAACCATGTCTTTAATTCTCTTTTAAAGTATTCATATGAAAGAGCTTAAGGGCTGGGGCAGAATCAGCAGGCATGTAAGAAATAATGTGAATCCCAGCTCCAGTAGGCTTGAGAGGTGCACTTCCAGAGAAGAGCGTCAGGAAGAAAGCAGACCCTGTGAAAGAGGAAGAAGCCAGGGTTCAAGGCACAAGTTCCCCTGTGCCCACAACCACCTGGGCTGACGGGCGGTTTGCTGACTGTGGACAACTATTATATTAGAGGCCATGCTGTGTTGTGGGGAACCATCCAGGAAGGTCACCATCCAAATTTCCAAATCTCTCTTCGGCAATGAAAACACAAGATCCTCTTTCCCTCGGCACCTTGTGAGGATGTTCAATTCCTAGCGCTTCCCAAGATCCTCCTCAGGAGAAGTCGACCTGCCCACAGGAGGCATAATTCCCAAAGCTGTCTACTGTGAACCTCTGGGAGATGTGAATGGAATTGAGCTTCAGGGTGCCAAAGTAGAAGTTCTCAAAGAGCTGAAAAGAAAGAATACAAACCCGGAATGAGTGTCCAAAGCAAATTACAGGTAAAAAGAGCAAACATCAGATCTCTCGTTAAAAACAAAAACAAAAACAAAAATAAACACTACAACAGTCCCAACAAACCTCTCATGCTTTTTCTTTTCAGTATTAATTCTGAAAACCAATCCTGGACGTGGGTGGGAGTAAGAAAAGAACAGTGGCTCTTCTCTCCGGTGAATTAAAAAAAAATTCTTTTTAATGTTTATTTATTTTTGAGAGAGAATGACAAAGTGCAAGCCAGAGAGGAGCAGAAAGAGAGGGAGACCCAGAATCTGAAGCAGACTCCAGGCTCTAAGCTGTCAGCACTGAGCCTGAAGCTGGGCTTGAACCCACGAACCATGAGATCATGAGCTAAAGTTGGAGGCTTAACAACCGGGCCACCCAGGCGCCCCTAATTTTAAAGCCTCTCCTCTAACAAAATGCACTAGGGGAAGAGAGCTGAAAAGTCAATTTCAAAATTTATCTACTGAGCAGATATGACTAAGAACTTGTAACAAACATCCTGGGGCCCCACCCTGACTCCCAGGGCCCAACTAAGCTGCCTCTATGATTTTCAGCTCCTGACTTGATAGGATCCTTGATGGGATCTTATGACAGCCAAGAGAAAATCTGATACAGTACCTTCCTCCAACTAGTCAACAACAATTCAGAAGAAGCACTGACTAAAATAAACAGAATATAAGGTTCCTAACCCAGGAGTGATCCTGACAACCCTGTGAGGAATATAGAACACTTACACATACCAAATAGTCTTCTACTGGATGATATTATACGTGCAGATGATAGTATTTATCAACAGCCTTCTACCTGACTTGGATTCAAGACAGCATCCTAAAGTAAATACTCTTTACTACAATTCTTCACTTTTTAAAAAGTATTTTATTTATATATTTTTAGAGTAGGCTCCATACCCAACATGAAGCTTGAACTCACGACCCCAAGATCAAGAGTCCCATGCTCTAACCTCTACCGACTGAACCAGCCAGGCGCCCCAATTCTTCACTCTAAAAGCTTTCAAGTGTGTCAGAGGGAGGGGCGAGCCATACTCTGGGAGGGACCAGGCCTTGTGATTAGCATAATTATAAGGCAGAATCTAAAATGATAACTAGAACTCATCCCTGCTTAGGAAAAGTAACTGCTTAGATAACGTGGTCAAAGTGTAAAGGGTCTGCCTTCTGTTAGGATGCAAGAGTTGATGTTTCTTAAAACATCAGTAAAATCCCAAGAAAGGCTTTCAATACACAAACCCAACAATGCTTGGGGAGAACCTAGGATGGGATGTTTACACAGAAGCAAGTGACCGTCTCTTCACTTATTTTTATGCAAGCTCCACAGCCATGGACTTCAGCAGCTGTTGCCTTTCCTCTTCCTGCAATTAGTGACCTAGCAAAATGCCTGGGGTTCATTAAAGGCTAACTTTATGAAGCCCAGTAAATATTGATTCTTCAACATGACATCAACTTGACCCCAAAGATCTATTTAGAGGTTGTATGCTGCATCGTCTTGTCTTTCAGAAAGGTGATCAGCTCTTGCTTGAATTGATTTATACAATTAACTTCTCTTCCTGGCTTTGGCAGCTTGTTCAAACCATATCCACCCTTTGTGTAGAGAAATACAGCTCGAAATGGTTATCTGCTAATCCCTTTGCTGACCATTAATTTGAGTGAGAGCCATGTCAATAAGACTGGCAGATTTATAGCTTTGCAAACCGAAGCCTTGGGTGCAAAAAGGATATCACCAAAGGGGCAATAAAAGACAAGACAAAACTAAACTAAAAGGGAACTCCTAACACTTTCAACAAGTTACTTTTTAAGGATTAGCAGCCTATGGGTGGGTCCTCTACCCTGTGCCTGTGTTTCCCAGTGAGAGAGCCACAGCTGGGAGCTGGCAAGTGAGACCGCCGGAACTTCACTTTGCCTTATGTGAATACCCTGTAGACAGTGTAATTTGTCGGAGAGATCCTCATGCTTTAGGTTTAAAGTAAATAGTAAACACGGTGATGACAGCAGCCAGGGAAAGAATGCTGCAGCCAGCCTAAATTTATACCCGCACATGGGAGCTGCGTGACTGTGTGCTGATGATACACACAGATCAAACTGTACGAGATCAGAGTGGGAAAAGATCCAGGAAGAGGAACAAGTCAAAGTTCCTTCCTTGTAAACTGTAAGGGGCTATTGAATATTAAGTATTTCCTGTGAAGGTTTTTGACATCTCTCTGTTCTAGCCCTGGACTTGTACCTTTCTCAGTTACCATCCTCTTTCATATCTTTTGATAATGTCACAAAATGAACTTCTCACCCAGAAGTCCCTAGGATGGTGCTAATCTTCCTTTAGCCCCTCCTATCTCCATGTTCTTATTCCTTCTGTATGTTGATGAGGATTTTGTACCAATTTTTCAGTTACTATATTGTTTAGTCCTTGTTATATCTTTAGTCTTAAGCCTTTCTTTTAGTTCTATCAATTATTTCTAGTGACTCCATAAAATATAAGCTCTACGGAGGAAGGATCTTTTATGTTCTTCACAGCTGAATACTACTGTACCCTGGAACTGTACCTAGTAGGATGCATGTGACCAATAAACATTTGCTGGAGAGAATGACAACAAAAACTCACACTGCACATGTCTGTGAACATTATGCCTGAAAAGAGAAAGTATGACATGGCTTTGTTTGCATTAGATTTAAAGGTCTTATTTACATACAAGTCTTACATGCATACATACATCTAGGAATCCTTGAACAGGACTCGTCAAAATTTTATTACCTCTAACCATGTCTCAACTGTTAACTGATTGTCAAGAAAGAATTTGCAATTAGTAATGGAAACTTCATGTACTCCTTTAAATTTCTACGTGTTTCTTCTTTGTCAAAGCCTAGACCCTTTCTTAGCTCCAATTTCTGATCTGAAATGTCAATGAGCACCTGATGTGATGCATTTTTATGCAACGGCATACGATCCGGTTCTGTCTCCCAGGTGCTTACCATCTAGTTAGGGAGACAGGGTTTGAGTCAAAAGAGAGGAACATGGATGATATAGGGGTGTCCACCTTGTGAAAAGTTACTGACCTACTTTGTGATCTGTGTACTTTTCTGTATTATGTTCTGCTTCAATGAAATAGTTTACCTAGGACAACAAGGGTGGCAAAGGTTAAGCGTGAGAGGGGAGGTAAGGGCAATCAATAAATGCAGCAAGGCGAGAAAACAATGGATGCTGAGACTGGGCACCGAGGACAGCCATCTAGAGGAGATGGGAACTGAGCCGGGCCTTGTGGCAAGTATAAGATTTAGCAAACAGTAAGAGGAGAGCAGCACAAAGGCAGAAATGGGCATGGTGAGCCTGGCCAAGCAGACCAGGTTAGGTGTTTGGAGGGTCCCTGAAGAGTCACAGTGAGAAAGACTAAGTCTAGAGACAGAAGGATGGTGAAACACATTAAGGGACTCTGAGGGTGTGGTTCAGAAGTCAGACTCCATTCTAGCTTGTGAGGAACCATGAAGTTTTCTGAGCAGGCTGGTGGCCCAACATGAAAGCCTGGTTTAGGGAAACTGATCTGGGTGTGGTAGACTGTGCCGACTGGCTGAGGGAATGAGAGAAAGTAAAGGAAACCAGGGCAGCACTTCAGTCATGAAAGAGGTAGTGTCTTTTTGGCTAAAATAGTAGCTGCATGCCTAGAAAGACTGGAGCAGATGTGAGATACTCGGAATGAAACACAGAGAAGACTCAGTGACTTCCTGGATATGGGTGAGTCAGGAAAAGGAGATGAGCAAAATCACAATGACAAAGTAAATATGAAAGTACCGTGGAACACAGCATTTCTGAGAGGGAGCTATTTCAAGGGGGAAAACAAACAAAAATGGAAGCACATCACCATAAAAATTTTTGCAACTGTCTATTTTTTTACTGAGTAGCTCTTCTTTATATAGTAGGAAAGTGAATCCTTTGTCTATGTAATGAATTGCAAATATATCCCCCCTTCCTTTGTCATTGTCTTTTGACTTTGCTTAATGTGGTTTTTACCAGATCCATTTAAATTTTTATGAACTTAAATGTATCGTAACAGGAGTTTTGTTTTGTTTTTTTTAAGTAGGCTTCAGACCCAGCATGGAGCCCAACACGGGACTTGAACTCATAACCCTGAAATCAAGACCTGAACTGAGATCAAGAGTTGGAAAATTAACCAACTGAGCCACCCAGGTGCCCTATAACAGGAGATTTTTAACAAAGTTACTAATGCCAATATTATTAAATGTATATTAAAAAATCAGAACGAACAGTACATATGTATTGACAACACTAATAAAATAAAGATCATTAACTGGCCAACTTACTGGGCAAGCATGTGTGCCAGGCATTATGCTGTGGGCTCCACATGACCATCTGACTGGATCCTCAAAACCCCAAGAAGCAGATACTAATTATTAGTTCCCATGGCATAGCTGAACTTGAAGTTTAAAAGGCTTAAGCAGGGGCGCCTGAGTGGCTCAGTCGGTTAAGCGTCCGACTTTGGCTCAGGTCATGATCTCACGGTTCATGGGTTTGAGCCCCACATTGGGCTCTGTGCTGACTGCTAGCTCAGAACCGGGAGCCTGCTTCGGATTCTTTGTCTCCCTCTCTCTCTGACCCTCCCCTGCTCACGCTGCCTCTCTCTCTCTCCGAAATAAACAAAACATAAAAAAAAAAAAAAACAGGAAAAATAAAAGGCTTAAGTAACTTGCACCAGTAAAAGGTGCAAAGTTGAGATTCATACAGCTGGAAAGGAAAAAGAAAGGCAAATGGAGAGGTAAGCCCGGGCAGCCTAACTTCTGGAGTCTGGGCTCCTGCACCCCTGCACACCCAGCCCCTTTCTGTGGGTGGTGCACCTTCCAACACCCCAGCTGAAGCCACAGTGAGGGCGCCCCAGCCAGCCACGCTCAAGTGACATTTCAGAGCACATTCTTTCACCTGCTACTCCTACTTTG